CACTATACTGCTGTACACCCTCATGCTGTACAGTAAGCACCACAACTGTGACAGTGTCCAGCAGACATCTGAGCTACTTCTGAGATTTGTTGGCATGTATGAAGGTCCATAATTCAAGGTCCATTCACATCTGTGAAAATTCACAACTGGAATGTTCACAAGTTTGGGACTTACTGTATATAAGATTAGGCTTCTGTCTTCAAACCTAAAGAGGAGTTAACACACATTAAATATTATTTTAATTATCCAAACCTAAAGAAACAGTATTGTTTTAAATGTACTATACAAATTCAGAGAGCTAGAGATTAACTTGATTTTGAGACTGGAGATTAGGGCACAGCAAAACTGGCTGGGGAAGTAGATGTGACCTGTTAAATACAAGATCCTGGAACATATATGCAGAACAGTTCCCACATGGACGTCTCATGAGAACCTGTTCAGGTTTTCGTTTTTACTTTTTTTTTTTCTTCTTGAGCAAGGTTTTCAACAGGACAGCCTAGACCTGACTTCAGCCTGAAGCGTGGGATCCCAGCACTGCCTCTCAGAACCCATATGTAGAAGTTCTCCAGGGTTTCCTGGAGATTTGGACAGCATAAAAGCTGACAGATGCCAACAATAGCTTGCTGTGGTGGTTTCCTCACGATAGCACGCCCTGCATCCTCCAGGATGTAGTTTTACCTTGCTTTTTGCTCGTTTACTTGGCCTAAGCTTGCTCTTCAAAGCCAGTTTCTCCCGCACTCTTCACTTACACTTTTTCAAGTAAACGTTGTGGCTGTCTTTTGCTTGGTTTGTTCAGTTCTTTGTTCAAGAGAAGAACCTGGACTCCCAACTGCAGAAGGAAGGGAGAGCAGCCCAGAACCCAGTAGTGATTATCTGGGGAGCCACTTCTAAAAGGAGCTACCTGATAACAGTTTGAATAACAAAAGCTTTTCTCAAAAGTTAAAGTTAGTGACTATCAGACCTTAGGGATATAGTTGTACAGTATTATCTATTAAATCAATGATACATATTAAAAAGTTAAAAATATTGGGAGCTGTAATCCCCACACTCTGGGAGACTGAGACAGGATTGGTACAGTTAGAAAGAAGGGAGCTGAGGAAGTCACTCTCTTCCATCCATTCTAATTTAATTTAATTTAATTTAATTTAATTTTTTTTGAGCTTTTTGAGACAGGGTCTTGCTGTGCAGTTCAGGCTGGTCGTGAACTTACTTTGTACCCCAGGCTGGCCTCAAACTCTCAACGATCCTCCTGTCTCAGCCTCCCAAGTGCTGAAATTACAGGCATGTGCCACCACGCCTGGCCCATCCATTTAATTTTAAACAGCACCCTAGTGTCATCCCTGTCTCCCTTGTTCTGAGAGGGACAGACTCACTTAATGAAAAACAAGTCAAACTGATGCTCTAGGCGAAAGCACACCATGAGGGATCTCCCAGTCTTACCTACAGTCACCTTCACCCTACTCCAGCCTTATGAAGGGTTCAGGAATAACGCTGCATCTCATGCATGTGATTAAGAGCAGAGTGAATTCTGGGACAAGCATGTGTTGAGAGTCCCTGAGATGGCTCAGCACCTGTCGATCATCCCTGTCAATCACACCTGGAGATTCAGGGGCGGGGCCTAAGGCTGAGATACAAACTTTAAATTCGGAAAGCCCGATTACCTGGCGCCGGCTGCTGCTGTGTGCTGTGATCTGTGTGCAGGGCTCTGCTTCCCTCGCACCCGGAACCACTTTTCTGTCTGTGCCGTATCCTTTGCTGGCGCGGACTTGCCCTGAGCACAGCTTCTTGTGATCCTCAGTAAATGTGGCTGCTTGCCCCTTGCCACCGGCTATACACTTTCGATTCTTCGTTTGTACACAAGAGCCTGGATGATACCTGCTGAGTTCATCCTGTGGTATTAGGAGGATCCAGAGTTCAAGCTCAGCTTGGGCAACTTAGCAAGACCCTGTCTCAAAAAAAAATAATAAAAGGGCTGAAGTTGTAGCTTACTGTGAAGGCCTTGGGTTCAATTCCCAGTACGATATACACATAAAGACCGACAGAAACAAAGAGAATTGGGAAGAATTGCAGAGGAATCTGTTAATCTCTTAAACATAGTAACTAGTTTTTATGTATGAAAGTTTATATAAAGATTCTAAAGGGCCGGGGATACAGCTCAGCAGCACAAGCGCCTGTCTGGCAAGCACGAGGTCCTGAGTTTGATTCCCAGTGCCAAAAAAGAAAAAAAGGATTCCATTTTATTAACGTGTACTGCCAATGCTTTTACTGATACAAAAAAATTATGCAAATTAAAATCTTTATTACTTGCAACAAATGTGCTGAATCTAGGTCTTTTTAAAAAATGTATTGAAGGTCAGGTGTGGTGGCACATGCCTATAAATCCCAGCACTCAGGAGGCTGATGCAGGAGGATCACAGTGAGTTCAAGGCCAGCCTGAACTGCATAGTAAAACCCTGTCTCCCCTAAGAAGCCCCCTGGGCCATGCCCTGAATGCAGAGGTGTCCACTGGAGATTAGCCTGCCCCCTGAAGCGGAGGCCCCAGAGCTCAGACCCATCCTACCAGTTAGTCCAACAGGAATGAGGGGGCCCGGGGTATACTCTGCCCTCTCCCTCTGGCCAGACTGTCATCTCCATGCAGGAGCCCCGGGTAATCATGACTATAGAGGAAAAAGAGAACAGCCTGTTGCTAGACACAGGTGCAAGTCTCTCGGTCCTTCTTTTCAATCCTGGCCTTCCTTCTAGATGTCACACCTCAGTGAAAGGAGTCACTGATGAGGTAATATGGTATTTTTCACAACCCTTATGCTGTCACTACTTGTTAGATCTATCTTGCGTATCTCTTGTCTTCCTGAGAAACCACTTTTAAGATACCACCATGTATTACAGCAGCCACTGCTATTTTCCTACTAATCTGTCCATAACTCTGTAATGTTTGTATTGTTCCTATGCTATTTCATAAATGGATGTATGTTTATTACTATGTTTCCTACAACAACCATTGAGAATAGTCAATGATTATTCAATTGGTCACTCATATATGGCTCTATTTATTTTCTTTAGAAGCCATTTTGAAGAAACCAAAGTATAGTACAACAACCATTGATAATCTCCTACCACTTTGGTCTGCAACTCACTATTATTTGTCTATTTGTTTTCCTGAGAAACTACCTTGTAGATAACAATATGTAAAACAACAACCATTGATAATTTCCTACCGCTTTTGTCTGTAATTTGCTAAGTCCCCCATTACTATGTTATCCTTCTTTTACTCTTTAAAAAAAAGTCTCAAAAGGACAAAAAAAAAAAAAAAAATTGAGCAGACTAACTCCTGTCTCAACTTTTAAGATCTATAATTGCAACCAGGCATGGTGGCACGTGCCTATAGTTCCAGCTACTCAGAAAGCTGAGGCAAGAGACTCACTTGGGCCAGGAGTTTGAGACGACCTGGACAACACACCAAGATCTTGTCTCAAATAGGAAAAAAAAAATTGTCCTAGGTATTGTAAATATATATTGATGAATACAGCAGTTCATATCCTTGAGCATTTCTTTTTATGTTTTGGTTTTTTGAGACAGGGATCTCACTGTGTTAAGCCCTGGCCTCCAAGTCAGGATCTGCCTCAGCCTCTGGAGTGCTGGCGTTGCTTACAGGCGTGCACAACCATGCCCAGCTAAGTGCTTACAGTTTGGCAGGAACAAATAAACAAAATCACTGCAAGTGATGTTGAGGAGCTCCGTGAATAGCAGGCCAGACAGGAAGAGGGTGAACAGGAAAGATTCAAGGCGGAGGTGACCCTGTCCAGGCCAACCAGGGAGGGACAAGTGAGGCTGTTGGGGCAGGGAGAGGAAGGAAAAGCATTCCAAGACTTAAAGGGCATCTTGACTGAAAAATAAGCCTGAGACCAGAGCTGGGGTTTCCCATGCTTATTTGCAAGCCTCCCCTTACCTACATGGAGAGAGTCTTTGAAAACAAGTAACTGAAAAAAAAAAAAAAAACAAGTAACTGGAACACACTGACTACGACATTTAAATATAAATGCTAGTGATTATTTTTTCATATTAATTTATTGTACATGCTTGTATTCGTTTTGTGTAAATGCCTTTTACTATTATCATTATTATTCTTTTGGGGGTAAGGTGTTGCTATGCAGTTCAGGCTGGCCTTGAGTTCACTTTGCAGCCCAGGCTGGCCTCAAACTTGAAAGGATCCTCCTGCCCCAGCCTCCGGAGCGCTGGGATTACAGTCCTGTGGTACCACACCCGGCTTTGTAAATGCCTTTTAGTAAGAGCCCTTTTGTGATGATTCCATTGTTTATATTCACTTTCAAATAAAATACTGATCACAGCACTACATGCCTATCTTGCACAGAAAAAGCTATCTTAATGAATAGAAACAACTCGCTTCAGGATCTACTGATTATAGAAATACAATTAAAAATGGTTCTAATATATACTAAACCTTGCATTTTAAAGTCCTGGTAGTAATATGGTTTTATAACTGTTTAGAAATGGTTTTTATATAACATCATCTTTAATACACAAAAACACTGTCATAGAAGTTTATCATCTTAGTTTAAAAATAAACATTTGAACCACATCATTAGGCATTTTATCTAAGACTTCTAAAAAACAAAATACTCAAGAATAGTGAGTTTATCTACAAAAGAACAAAAATCATCCCGCTGCAGTTGAAAAGTTTCTGGAAAGGAGGATTTAAAAAAAGCCTCGCGCTGTAACTTCAGGCGGAGGTCACATCAGATTTCACCGCGAGGAGCACACGGAGGCGTGTGACACTCAGCACAACGCGGGTACGCTTTTGTCGCCAGGAGAACCTTCTCTTTTGTATCAGAAACTGCAGCCTGGGCGGCACTGTGATCGCGTCTGTCTCGCACGCGTTTTCGCGCACGGTTGCCTCCCCTGCAGCTGGAGTCCCAAGGTCCTGGCTTCCTCCGTCCTCCCGGCCGCGCCGTCGCGGGGAGCGCGCAGGGTGCGGTGGGGCGGGCGGGGTCCCCGAGCCCCGGGCCGAGCTCTCGGCCCCGCTCTCCGGCTGCGCCTTAAATCTGCAGCGGATCACGTCTACACACGAGAGGGGACGGAAGTGTGTTTGTGTGTGCCCCCAAATCAGTCACAACCAGGGAGAGGCAGCGCTCGCGAACGATCGAACGGGCCCCCACGCCGGGCTCCGGCCTGGCTGCGCAGGGCAAGGGAGAGGCGGGCGGCGCGGCGCGGCTGGTGGCCGG